AACTGCCTGCTTTAGTCGCCTATTTTCCATGTCACTGTAACGGCCTGAATTGGAGGTGAAAAGTTCTATTTAGTGCTTAAACTTACGAAGTTTTAATTCTTTCGGCGTGAGCAACCGAAAACAGTTCGGCTTTCTCTTTCAGGCGGTAATATTATCATGTGCTGCATCTGAGCATGTACTGTTATTTTATTTCCCGTACGTGTCTTGTATGAACCAAACATGCTAGGTTCATATCTAATAGCTAATCAACCATGTAGTCTCCGATCTTACCCACTTCATTGCCTTAGAGTATAGGACTTTACTACCGAATGTACCAGTCCCGTTTGTAATGCTTTCCAAGTAGTTCTACATCGTGCTGTCCGCTTCCATTGTCCTATACCCCATTCCGTATCCTTCGCAGCCTTCACACTATCGGGTTAGGCAAACCCCTTACGATAATTCTTGGTTGCAGTTCCAATTTATATTCCCCTTTACGCCTTCGCATTACGTCTGCAGTCCTGAATTTACATTTGTATTTAAATGTCCGGATTATGCCTTCCCTTTTATAGTCGTTCAGAGTCGGCTTCCTTATTCGAACCTTCGTGTCACTTTCTCATTAACGGGCATTCAGGTGCCGGTTTGCCGGATTTCTCTTACTTATTGCGCGGCCTCCAGTTGTCCATGCCACTTTGGCGTTCGCCTTTCGGTTAGACTACTTGCCTCATTTGTTATATTCGTTCTATATGTATTCACTTCCTCTCGCCATAATTTTCTTCATTCTGGTGTTTTCCTGCTGTATCTCTCGTGCTGTTCAGCCGCTGCATGATATTTTTCGCCTTTATGCTAAGATTTCTCTACAAATTTCTATAATATGTCACCATTTTACCCTTGCCGATCGCGCGCCTCGCACACTTCTGGTCCACAGCGTACACCTTTCGGCTTCTTTCTACCCGTCTGACCTAAACACTGTTTGCTTGACAGTTTATAGTTTTCTATCTGTGCCTCGCGAAGCCGTGCGCTGTCTAGCGGCACCAGTCCCGTAAAGACATCGAATGGTGAATTCAACTAAGCGAGGTGATTTTGTCTTGCTTCTTCTGCTGGCCTTTCTGGATTCCTTCTCTTTCGATCCCCCAAAGTGTCCCACGGAGAAGACCACATTCATCACCTAGACGGTCCAGGCTAACCCGGGTCACTCTTAAACTAAATAAGGTCGTGAAGGAAATTGGACATCGACAGCCGTCTGCGTTGACTGAGACGTTCGTTCGGTAAGAGTGACCATGCCATACTTCTGATACATATACAGTTTTACCATAGAGCTGAAGGCAATCTTACCAGTGGTTTAGACTTGAGCAATAGCAGACGTGTGTTGCACCTATCGCAATTTCTCCTTCTCCGTACTTGATCTTTATGTCCAGGTGACCGAGTGTAGGAGACCGAAAGGGGCATAGGGCGCAGTTTGCTGACGCGAAGGATTCCGCTCCTAAAGGTGTCGATCGGATCCCACGGAGTGGGAGTGTTATAAAAGACACATAATGAAAGAACTATTGCAGCATGATTCTCAGTTCGCCAGTCAGTCACTCCACACAAACCATGCACTTTACTTGCTTGGTCCAAGTTGTCACTTTAGTTGACACCCTTCCAAGTCATGGTTTTAGCGCACTGTGAAAACTTCAAGCACGCTAGATTGTTCATCGTAAGACAAATATACCGAGACATCGACCGCATTCTCTCTTTCCATTCCCAGAGCCCAGCCGCCGTCCGAGCCGGTCGAAGGATTTGTTTGGGGATGCAGTATTTCAGATCACATCCGTTACTCTACAAGGTCCGAGAATCCGTGATAAAGGGAAGGTTACTAAAAAGGAAAGAGTGCTTTTGGTCATTAGATCGCATTGGTAATGCGAAATAAATGCCCCTATCGCTTTTCAGTGGTGTGCCGCAGAGGTCCGTTCTTGGAGAATTACTCTTATTTATTACTGTTAGTAATCTATATCATTGACTGCATGGGTGGACTGGACTGCAGTAAAGTCATTATTATAGACGACATCAGCATGGGCTCAACGATCAAATGCAAGAAAAATGGCTGGACATTGCAAGGTGGACTTCACCACCTATATGATTGATTCAATAAATATCTGTGGAAGTTTTCCTTTCAGAAATGTGTCGCACTGCAAATAAAATCAGAGAAGACAAACAAAAATGGGGATTCTCACTAACACTTCACCGACGGTAAATGTATGTGGAATGTAAGTGAAAAATGACATTTGTAATCTCTGAAGCCTTTTCCTCAATGTATCAGGACGAATAAAAGGGCGACCAGTGTTCTCTTCGCCACTAAAAGAACATTCATAGATATAAAAATAAGTGTTAGGAAAAATCTGCGCAGCATCTCTTGGTTCAAAAGTGGAATGCGGAGTTCTGTCGGGGCGCCTGTGGTCGCAAATAATTAAAGGCTATTATGATGAGTTCAGAGAAAGACGACAATAATTGTGAATTGTCTTAAGTCTTTAGCAGACAAATATATATTTTAACACGGCTGGGCTTGTCCTCTTTGATTATAGGCATATTCAATGACATCTCATAAGGACATAATGGCTCGTGAGGAATTGGGATTGTGTCCTCCACTTCCATGACTACTGTTCACTGACCAAAATCTTTAAGGCGCTTGGGAATTCATTGACAATTAAAAGAACTATATTCCACCAGGATGTTCACCACAACTTGCTTTCACAGCGAGCGTTCAGTGTCTTAAAGGGACTTCTCAATGCTGTTAGTATGGCCGATATAGCAGGGACATTAAAATATAAACTTGCTATATGCTTACTTGAAAGATACGGTTCAACTGGAAAGGATATCTCAGCAACACTAATTCAAAAACACAACACTCAAGGTCCCATGCCAATTTTCTCACCGTAAACAGAACTATACTGAAGGGTTTGCTCATACATACCGATAACGCTGACATCTGTTGTTTCACATTCTCGTTGATACGAGAAGTTTCCCATGCTTCAATTCCATTGGTAGCGCAACATTTGTAAGGCAGATATGTTACTGCCTGCCGTATAATAGCATGTTAATTTTCATTCGACTATTAAATATGCTGAGTTCAATAGAGTCTGCAAAGGAAATGCCTAGAGTTCTTAAATATACGGAACTACGCTGAACTATTTCCTGCGTTTGACGTGCTAGCATATATTTCATCCCATCTGCTTTACATCCTGTCCGAGACGCAACCTGTAGTAAGTTATACAGACTACTTTAGAGATTGGGTTGGCCTCTGTGCTAATTTGGACTCTGGCAGGAAAGTAATGCAATATAAAATGGCCCATAGATGATAGACAAATCATCTGCTTTTAGCTTCCTCTCCTAATGATATGGACTCCGGATATTCGCTAAATTACTATTCTTGGTTTATTTCTGGACGAATTATTTTAAAATAGATATGGGAATAGTTTCTTCCCCAGAGATATACAGACTTTATAGGAGTCTTGAGCTGGGTTCAGAATCAGTTTCTAAATCGTCCTTTTCAAAGAGCGCCACTTTAGAATTTTTCTCACGCCCATAAGCATGAGCCTCCTCAAGTTCGGGCGAGTAGCAAAACTTAATTTACAACTTCTTAAACTCTCACGCGTATCATGTCCCTTTACGCGAACTTTGCTTTCACCAACACTCGGTGCTTTTTATTCGAGTTATAGCACGTCTACTAGACCACTAGAGCAGAGCTCAGCGCAAACGTCCGACACAGGCGCCCTCTATGCCATCAACTTAGGTGAACGTAATAGACTTCGCATTCAGCGTATGAGCGAAAAAGAAAAAAAGGATTTCTTTGACAAATTATGGTCTACGATTGTAAAAGGTAAACAACGATATAATCTTTAAAACCATACTAGATAAAATGCTCCGTACTAACGCCGTTAGCCGTTTTCTTAAGCTGAAGATGGATTGCGGATTAGATGTTTCCTATGAACAGGCCGTCGAAGAGTTAAGAAAGCTAGGGATAAGGCCGGATACTGTAAGGAAGTGCAGTTTGTGGTTATTATGCGTTTAGCGTTTTTTCTCTGCCTTTATCCAAAGGTCGTGTGAAAAAGGAGACATGGAAGAAACAAGGTATATAAAAATCTGTGCTAACATTCTTTTGTTAGTGTCTTTTTGAAGGAAATGCACCGCGCTGGCGTTACTCCGGATGATTACATATTCGCGAATATTTTGCATGGTTACGTAAAATGCAGGTAAGGTTCTTCCGTAAATATCTAGACCATAAAAACTCGCTATTTTAATATCATAATCTGTTCACTATCTGACTGACGGACACGTTTATTCGCTAAAGGTTACCAGATGAGGTGGCGACAACTCAGGATGTAATGTCCAAACTGCATTATTGGCCGTCCACGTTGGCGACAGAACATCTTCTATATGCGTATGCAGACCTTGGAGACAGCACGAGTCTGTTGGAACTACTTCAAGAAAGTTTGGCCAAAACGGATGCCCCATTTCCTCCACGAGTTTTCGCTGATCTGTACGCTAGGCTAGCGATGACCCCAAACTTTAACGAGAATGAGCCTGCGGCCGTAGAGGTAAGGCGACCCTTTGCAGTCCGAACGATTATATACCTTGTGTTATTTCTAATACTTCCAGAAATCACTGCGGAAATCAGCCGGAAGCTTTCTTATCCTTAATGTTGCTGCTGAGATTTAAGTAAATGCATTGTTGCACAAGGCGTATTTTTTGAGCTGCTGCCCGATGCCCCTCGCCTTATTTGATGCAAAGCATAACATGCGACGGTATCTCGAAGTCAGCTGATGTGTGATTGATCTTTTGATTTGTTCTCTTGGTATAATTATCTTCTTGTTTCGACTGCCAATACAAATAACGCTTTAAGTTTTTACTCACAATCGCGTACTCCACTTACCCGTAGTTTGACTGATTTATGGCTATTCTTGAAGTAGGTACTTTCAATAATTTACTAAAACTTATTTCGTATCCATTTTTCACGCAGCTTTTATCGCTGCTAGCTCAACGCGATCAGCGGTTTGACGACTTCAGACTCGGCTTACCCTTGGGAAAATTGATATCTTCGGGCCACATCGCAGCCGCCGTAAATATGCTTAAGGCAACCCAACCCCATAACTTCTCTCCGCGCTTCTTAGCCTCTTTTCCTGAACTGCTTGCCCAAGGAAAACACGTACGTTTCGAGCACCACTGAGTTTTTGATATCTGTTTTCCTTCCTTGGCACATTCAAATTCCTACAAATTTTTAATCTGTATCAGTTTATTGAGGGACGTATAGGTAGATTGCCTTTGAGTTCCCTTTTTGTACATCAGTATAAGGATAACTATTTCGAGTGGCCACTTATGTTTCTTAAAAATGTCACCGCTCATCAAATATGCCCAAGTAACGCCGGTGTCTACTGCTGAGTGTTTTAGACAGAAGTCCCAAATTTCCACCAAGTCTTGCTTTGTGCTATATTTTAGTCTCACGAATCGCTGGTGCGGTTGTGGTCGGCATCTAACAGTTTGCCCCGGATGTTCGAACTGGTGCGTTTTATGCCTACGGGTACGTAAGTTCGTTTTTTATGAGCTAAAAGATTGCATACATGTCAGGATACTTACATTTTATATGGCATTATTACTTTTGTGTTGTTAATCTCTTCCAGAGAGCATGCTACTGACTTTGAAGTGTAACTTACCTATTCGACCGGAGTCTCTCTGGAACCTGACAAATTTCATCGTCCGGCATGTTGTCCGCCAGAAGGATCGCGAACGTGAGTTATTTTTATGTATCGTACTGTCTATACTTCCGGGCAACTAGATTAGGTACACGGTAAACCTTCACAAGCAGCCTGTTTAATATTTAAAAGTAAATATCTTATTTCAGTGATTTTCTTAAATTTGGTAGCGCCTTGTCACGTCTCTTATCGTTGCCGCTTAATTACACTGTATGTTTATATTGAGGTCGATCCAGTCTTCTTCATCAAATTTGTCCTGACGGGTGTTACGAGCTTTCAGAAATTTTTTCATTGTCCTCCAATTTTTAGGCCTTTTGGAAGTTGGCAAAATTCTCGCTAAACAAAAGCCCCACCTCCACTATATGCTTGTTGTCCCAAGACTGCTGACAATGGGCATGACACCAGACGAGATATTTTCACACTACCAAGTACGCAAAATTGTCTCCTTTTCGAAAACCTATTGAAACTTTTTTTCGCATAGTATAAAAATTCAAATTGTGACTTCTTCGTGCATCTCAGGTTTATAACCATCTTATTCTGACTACTGTCGCTACCCATATTGTGGTCTTACCCAAACAACTTCCTCTGGGATTGCATCAGTTGCTATTAATGTTATTTACAGGTCCTCCGTCATATATTACATTTGATAGCATTTTACTTTAAGTGTGTCCGATTATTCAATATTTCGGCTTGGCCTTGGTTTTTTTTTAGTAAACTATCCACTCTAAGTTGCATGTCTCGAGTTCACAATGCCAAATCGTTAGTTACATAAAACTGCTTTTTGCCAAACCATTTCTAGAGTAAAGAGCTGGCTTCCTCGAGTGCATTAGGTTGCATTATCAAAGAATTATGTCCCGCCATCGAATTCACTAGCGATTCGGATCCAGCGACGTCGGCGACCAACCTGGACGAGGCGAAGGCACTGGTCTCCAAATTTACCTCATCGAACCTGCTGCCTTTTACTGGCTATTTGTCTTTTAATAGTAGTCCCGCGCTAATGTTGGTAAGCCTCTTTCCCTAAATCTCGCAATGCTAGACGTCCTAGTGCGTTATTTCGCACGTTGAACGCCATGTTTCAGTTTTAGCCGCGTTTTATTCCTCATACACCGCAGACAGTATTATCAGTCTTAGCCCCATGAATTTCTTTTGGACGGGCTAGTGCAGCAGCAGCAGCAACAGCATCAGAATCGCCCATTTCTTCATATTTTTTTTCTAATCGTCCGCTTACTTGTCCACACTAATTGTCGTCCACCGCTTTTATTCAAAAATTTTGATTAGAATTTATAACATGGGATTCTTCCCAGGGTAAGGGAGAGAAATCCTACACAGTAGGTCAGCGCAATAAACATGGATGGTGGTCCTAAAATGTACTACATATTTCGCGAAAGGACATTGCAGTTCAAGATTGGCTCATATGGTGTTGTACTAGTCCCCAGTAACTTAAGCCAACCGTTCTCTGATAATAGCCGTTTGTATCCACTCAAGAAATTTGCGTGTGGTTTTTCAAAATTGCCATTAAAAACCGTGTACTATTTAAGATTAAAATAAGTAGTTTATGTTACTATTCGTCAATATATGTCATGTTCACCCTCTACTTACTCACCAGGCCTCTGAGCATGCATATCCCTTGCTAGTATTTTGCGATACATTTGCTAGTTAGTCTGTCCGATTGTTTCACACCTGACCTAATTTTCAGGAAAGTTAGCTTACACACATCTCCATTTACGGGGCTAGACTTATAAAAACCTAGGTTATTGACTGATATATTAGCTGCTGTGCTAGTAAGATGACTTCCTTATTATCTAGTCTACTACAGTCAAAGGACCTGCTTTAAAAGTCAATCGCTCTGCCCTTTACAATGGCTGTGTCTACTGACAAGAAGCCGCTGACCTCAGGAGGTGCATCTTTTGTCGGGTCTTGGCGCTAGTTGTATAAAGTTCCAAATCTTGTTGAATGTGTTTATCCTTACTTACCCGTCCTTCCACTTGAACATTTAAATGCTTTCTTTCAGCTGCGTGGCGCCCTTCGTCATTCCTTTGAGAAGGCCTCTTCTGGCGATGGTGCAGGGAAAATTTCTCAGGCTAAACTTGACGACTGGTTAGAAATCCTACTCCAGTGTTTCCCCAAGGAGAGACAGCCGATCTTGGCGGGAGCCCTCCTTCGGACGTGTCTCGAAATTCCACAGCCTCGTGAAGCAGAGACTGTGACGTCTGCTGAGCAGCCGAAAAATCGGCCCCTCTTCGTCGATCCACAGATCCGCAAGAATCTAACCATGGGTCTGTCAAGGTTCTTCTCGAAGAAGGTACTTATATCCGCTTTAGGGGTCCATTTTGCATGTCCTGCTAGCGCACGCCATTCGTTTTCTTGCTAGTCAATCAAGCGTCGAAGAGTGACTGGCTTCTACATGCTGTCTTTTCAAGTACTCCCTGCGCGCCTAGACTGTGCGCTGAGATTTGGGTGACATTCGAGACTACAAAAGTTACTGCGTTGTCTCTGCTCAGGAGAATGGGGGCTCCCTACTTCGGAAATTCCTTTGACTTTTCGGTGCATATTGCAAAAGTGCGATTATGTCCAGTGTAGGACGCCATTGCCATTGCTCACACAGCTTAGGTAATATACCTAGGAGTAATCAGTTATCAACAAAACCGAGATTAGAGGCCGCTGATTTTTGTTTTGAAGTTTTTGTGTATTCCTTCCTTCCCGAC